AGTACCCCCCAGGAGCAATTTCAACAGCAGAAATCGCAACAGGTTCAGCCGACTTCGGCGTGGCGCTAAGGCGTTTGGGCCCTAACTGGGAATGGTTTACTCCATCTAGGGCTGATGCGGGCCTAATTGCTACGTACTGAATATTCCGTTTTTTACGAGTTGCCGGTTCAAATGTTACGTATCCCCGACCGACCGCTATCGTTCACGTTCCACACGGAACTAACAGGAACATAAATACTGCTAACGTGCAAACTTGAGAATGATGGTCTCTCACGGCGTTGTCTGGCAACGGGAGACACACTCTGTCAGCTGGTGGAAGCTTAGATGTATACGAGTGCAGAAGAGAGAGCAGGAACTATGCAATCATAGAATCTTGGTGGAGGATTCACCTGCTCTATTGCTGCATTGCCGTGCTGTCACTGATTCGGCAACGGTGCAGCAGCGTCTGTGCGATGATCGGGTGCATCTATACTTGCGTGCAGATACGCAGCGGAACGCCAATCACGTAGCAGGTGTCGACTACAGTGCTAGTGCGTGCATCACGAAGGCTTCGGATCGGCCTTGCATTGGGGATTGTTGTGGGGCCAGATTTTCAGCAGGAGGTGATACGACTCAAAAAGTCTGCCTTCTCTCACCACCTCAAGGGTCCTGAGGCGAGTTTACTCAGCCCTGTGTACGACGATGGCTCCAGAATGTGCACTAATACGTATATGTTAAGTCAGGGAACTAATATTTGGAAGCACACATACTGCTCGGCCGACGGACATCCGTTTACAGGCGAAGAGAGCTNCGTCGCCACATTACCAAATCTTGGCAAATCTTGCACGAACGGGCTTGCATTAGATGATACCTACTCCGAGACGGCCTTGCAAAACACACTCGGGTTGCAGGCGTCTTTTCCACTTGAGATGATGTCATGGCTCTGCTTGTGATACCCTCATTGTGCCATATTTGTTCACGGTCTTACCCTCCGCTGGCTGGTTTACGTCACACTAGGGGAGGGTGCCCGTCGTCCATGGATGGAACCCAGGTCTTTTCTTTTTACATTTACGTTTTGCTGCAAACTGTGAAGCACTTCCACTTTGGAATGGCGGGGCTGGTTGCCAGCACCCAGGCTTCACACTGGGTCATCGACCGGTGTTGCGGTCTAAACGAGAGAACGAAAGAAACACCATTTCATGATCAGAACTATTGTACAACCATTCCACTCTGCTGAAGGAAGCAATATGTGGACAAACGGGGGTTATGGGACTTGAAATAGGCGATGTTAACTTTGTGGAGTCGAAGAAATCCACAAAAAGTCGAGCATCGAATATTTCGCCCCGTGCACGCAACGATGTCTTTGGAAGATCCTTGGAGCTTCTGATTTTGCTGGATAGACAACTGATTAACTATGACAGGTGTAAATGAACTAATCCAGGGGAAGAAGGGGTCATACCTGCAACTTCGATGCTGCCGCAACTTTTGAGTAGTGTAATCCGTGAGATGGTGTGTAGGGGCTTAATGGGCTGAAATCTAGGCACCGCCGGGTATGTAAGAGCACACTCATGGTCTACGTTTGCCGGTGTATTGATCCCCCTAAGGCGGAAAGCAAGGGTCCTCGCCTCATCGGAAACTTGTGTGTGTGGTCACAGCTGTTGCGCGCAAATCGCGGGCGTCGAGCCACTACGCTGGGGAGTCCAGAGACAAAATGGTAGTGTATGCTTTGTAGTTCATGTTTGAAAACAAAAAGGAAGCCGTCAAATGCGTGATATGAGGTGCGCTGGCTTCGGAAGTCTGTGCGGCCGCGAGAAGGCAAACCCGTAGTGCCCCTGTCGTGGCCTTCTGGGCCGTCGCGATGTTGTGTGGGGATTCCCTAAACATGCTCTGGAAGTGGTTATATAGTGTTAGTGAATGAAACCGTATCGCAAATATTCGTTTCTTTAGGTCCTCCTCAGTTTTCATCTTTGCGCCTGGCCGCTAGGCACGAGACGCAACTGCTGTGCAGCTGTGGGGGGCGAAGACTAGACATTGGAATGCCAGATCCTGTGGGATTCTTAGGCATTTAGGGCGGATATATTCACAACTTCGAATTATCTGCTTTTTAAGCATTTTGGGGCTTTTGGAGCTTGTTTAGCGCAGTTAG